CAGCCATCCGAGTTTCCGAAAGAAATCTAGAAAGACGGCTGGAGAGATGGAGCTAATGTTGGTTGCATCAACCCATTCTTCTCCTAAAGTGGATTTTCTGAATTCGAGAAGAGCAGGACATTCACAAATAATGTGTATTACATTCTCTTCGCCCCAGTTACAGGCTCTGCAAAGAGGACTGTCTACTTTTCTTATCGTATGAAGATGTTTGTTTAGTCTACAGTGTCCCGTTATAATTCCGACAAGGTCGGAGAGGTTTTGACGAGATAGCTGTAGACTGTACCTGGTCAGCTTGTCAGATGGATTAGTGATAATATTTTTGGTCTGACGACATGAGCTTAGATTAACCCATCTTTTTCATGGGTTAGTTTTTTTATCTGGACTTTTAAGGTTGAGTTCGTAAGTGGCAGCTTTTCCGATCCCTGTCTTGCCAGTTCATCAGCCTTTTCATTTCCTTCATTACCATTATGTCCTTTAACCCATACTAGTTCTAGGACATTATTAATCGTTATCAGCTTCAAAGCAGCAATGCATTCCGCTACCAGTCCCGAGTCAACTATATTGTGACTCAAGGCCAGCAAGGAGGCCCTGCTGTCTGAGGAGATTCTTATTGTTTTTCCATGTATTTGGAGCTCTATTACTTTACGAGCAGCCTCCAGTATGCCTGTGATTTCACACTGGAATATGGTCGCATAGACACCCAATGATATACTGAGGCGTATGGATGGGTTCTGACAATATACTCCAGCTCCAGAGCCTGAGTCGGTTCTGGATCCATCTGTAAAGATAGAAAGATCAGGCGAGGTATTTGGGTGTCCATTTATCCACACCTGATAGGGAGTATTAAAATTATAGCTCCGCACAATCTGGTCGCGCACTGCACTCAGAATAGGTATCTGTCGGACATTCTTTTTCAGGATGCAGGTGTGACGTTTGCTAGAGATATTTTCTTTCCACATTTTAGTGGTCGAAAGCCTCAGAGATGATCTCAGTGCATCCTCCTCTACGAACAGATCCAAAGAGGGGATGTTCAGGATTGCTTCCATGGCTGCGGTTGGAGTTGTGCGCATGCTGCCTGTAACAGCTAGACATGCAAGCCGTTGCACATGCTCTATTTGTTTTGCTGCAGTAGTTTGTTTGATTTTGGGCCACCAAACGACAGATCCATAGCACAACATTGGTCGAATGACTGCCGTATATAACCAGAGAACTATCTTTGGGGATAGTCCCCACGTCCTTCCGACAGTCCTTCTACACTGCCAGAAGGCCACTGAGGCCTTCTGAATTTTGTGCTTTAGATGACTACTCCAGTTAAGTTTGCTGTCTAGAATTATTCCCAAGTACTTGACTTGGTTTGTTAGTTCCAGACAGGTTCCAAATAACTTAGGCATTTTGAGGAAGCCAAGTTTTCTTTTTCTGGTAAATAGAATTAATTCCGTCTTTGCAGGATTTACAGAGAGGAAATTCCTATTACACCAGTTTTCAAGTATGTTTAGAGCTGTTTGCATTAGATCGCAAAGGGTGCTCTCAATTTTCCCCGTTAGCGTGATAGTGATGTCATCTGCGTAGCCAAAGGTGGTAAAACCATTGTTGTTGAGAGACTCTAGAAGATTGTCAACAACTAAGTTCCATAGAAGTGGCGAGAGTACTCCCCCTTGAGGGCAACCTTTGATTACCACTCCTTTGGTTGAGTCTCCATCGCCTACGCTGACAGCTCTACATTGTAGCATATGTCCAATCCAAGTGCAGAGCATAGGATGAACACCGTGCTTTCTCAGAGCTGCTTCTATGGATTTGAAGGAGGCTTTATCAAATGCTCCTTCTATGTCTATGAATACGCCCAGGGTGGACATATTGTTGTCCATGGATCTTTCGATTCTGCGCACCACCGAATGGAGGGCGGATTCGGTAGATCTTCCTGGAAGGTATGCATGTTGGTTTTGATGCAAAGGGTTCGTTATTTGTATTGCATCTCTTATATACCTATCACAGAGCCTTTCCAATGTTTTTAAAAGAACAGAGGAGAGGCTTATGGGTCTGTAGGCTTTAGGGGTGGTGTAATCCACTCGCCCTGGTTTAGGTATAAATACTACCTTAATATCCCTCCATGCATTTGGTACATGTTTTAGGGATAGGCATGCCCTTAATATTCTTTCTAAAAGGGTGGACAGTGCCTCCAAGCCCCATTGTAGTAGGGCTGGAAATACGCCATCCCTTCCAGGTGAAGAAAAAGGCTGAAATTGCTTGACAGCCCAGGCTATTTTATTCTTAGTCACAACAGAGGTTGCTTCAAGCTCCTCCTCCCGAGAGGGAGGGGTACGAGAAAGCTCTGGCCATTTGGCAAGTGTACTAAGTTGACAGCCTGGGAAATGCGTCTTTAAAAGTAGCTCATGTGTTTCTGAAAGGGTTTCCGTATAGGACCCATCCTCGCGTTTGAGACAGCTGAGCTGTTGATTGGGATCCTTGGACAACATTCTTTTGAGCCTTGCTGCCACTGAGGTGGATTCAATGCTGTTACAGAATTTTGTCCATTGTGATCTTTGTCTTTTTCTGGCTTCCTTTTTGTACGAACGTTGAAGTTCTTTGAAAAGAAGCCAATCATTAGCATTTCTGGAAGACTTAGCTTTGTTGAATAGCTTGCCCAGTTTGTTTTTCATCTTGGCGAGTCCTTTGGACCACCAAGCTGTTTTTGATTTACTGGAAGTTAATGTAATTGGACAGGACTGCTCATAAGATGCAATAATAATATTTTGCATGTCAAGAACAGCTCCGTCCAAAACTTCCCTGTCATTGAGTTCAGTCGGAATAAGCAGAGACCCCAGGCCCTCAGACAGTGTGCTTTTGTACAGCTCGATGTCTGTCCTTCTGGGGTTCCTATACCTGCTGTTTTCCGACTGAACAGTTTTTATTTTAAAAAGGATGTATCTGTGGTCGGACAAGGATATTTCACTAGACACTGTCCAATTTAAAATTCTGTTTGAAATATTAAAAGAGGCTAGCGTGAGATCAATAATTGATTGGCCCCTACTGGTTACAAATGTAGGTTCGCTGCCTCTGTTTAATATTTCTAGGTTAATATTTGATTATATTAATTAATTAATTATTAATTTAATTAATATTAATTATATTAATAATTATTAATTAATTAATGATTTAATTTAATGTGTATTTATTATAAGTTATTGAGATATTTCAGGTAATATAGTTAAATAGTTGAATCAATTATGTTTGTTTATTATAACTAAATGATATATTTACCACAATATAGTTAAACTTTAGTACCACCCAATTTTTTCTTTGTAACAAAGAGATGGATTATACAATATATTTACACCAAAGATTGATATATTTCACACAAATAAATAAAATATTTTCTGAAAAATGTATAGAGTTGCTTTAAATTAATCTATATTTTGTATCAAAAATATTAAATACTTCGTTCAAATAATTCCAAATAAATGTTTAATTGACATGCTTGTTTCAAAATTATGTTTACCACTAATTATTAAAATGAAAAAAATTTGACATTTTCCAGATTTTTTCCACATTTTCCTTCATATATAATTATATATAAAGGTATTTTTTTTCTGGAAAATGTCTAATTTTTTCATTTAGTAAAGACAGAATGGTCTTGCCGTTTCAGTATTACTGAAAATGGCTTGAATTACAAACACAAGCCTGGCACCATATATCTGAGCAGCACTTCTAAGCAATATATAAATAAATACAAAATACACCTACTATAGTCTTTAAACACATTTTATATCATGTTCTATCTTTTATCACCTATATATAAATATGTGATACACACACCTATAGGTACAGATTTGTTTGTCAAATACGAAATTATATTATGTCAAGGGATATGTATAAAAACTGCAAGTTAAAAAAAAACTAACTTTATTTAAGTAAAAATAATAATAACATTCTACATTAAGTATATTACCAATATCGCCACAAAGAAAGTTTGTTATAACAAGTTTGTTATGCCTTATATTGACTGTAGATATATCTATGTACGAATCTTCGATTGTAATCATAACCTAGGACAAGATGTTGGATATTTGTTTAAAAGTTATAAGTTAATATTTAAATTAATCCTAAAACAGTATCAATTAAATATTACTGTAATATTTACAACAACTTTAAATCAAATATGGCCGGCGATATCTCACGTGGTGCGCAAAACAGTTTGGGTTTTCGTTCGCATTTTTACGAGATCGAACAGACCTTGTTGTGTGGATTGTGATTGTACCCACAATCGAACAGACCTTGTTGTGTGGATTGTGATTGTACCTATTATAATTATCAACCCCACGACCAGAGCACGCTGTAGGCCCTAATTTACCAATATGCAACATTCTAATGCTCAAAGAAAATGTATGTAAAATTTACCTACCTTCGAAATATGGAAATAAACTCGGTTAATCCCGTTAGCTTCTGGCGGCACTGATACCTATAGGTATCCCTATATATACCTATATATAGGTAGATAATAATCAGAAATAATAAACTCACTAAAATATCCCTTCTGATTTAACCGCGACGACGCTAGTGCCACAACTAAACTAAGTAACGCATTCACTGCCTTAATCCGTAGGCATATTTCTTACAAGGAAATAAGATTTGGTTGTACCAAATAAAGGCAGTGTTGTGAATATTGGATTATAATATTGTTATTATCAAACCAAACTTTATTTGGTTCAATATAGAATGGATCCACTACTTAACCTAACATTAAGTTGAATCAAATGAAATGCTCTTGTTTCAAAACAATTACCTTAAATAAAGGATCCCGTAATGAGAAATAAAGCAGTTGCATCGTTGAAAAGAAATGTTATTTTACTGAAATAAAAATAGATTTTTGCCAACATTATGGTTTTGAAAGCCACATTTATTTGACATAAGAACTGCATTTTTCTCAGTGTACTAACAAAAGAAAGCATTTAATCACCCAGTTCTAATTTAATTAATTATAATTTGCAAAAGTTTATACTAACCCCTTTAAGTAAATGTTGCATATTGGAGGATTTGGTGTCAATTACAATGTTGTTTATTTCCTTGCTCTTAATCTCCTTTAACACGGCCCGATAAGACTCGGGATCTGCTTGCCGAAGGTGGATTTCGAAATCACGACTGTGTGGAGACCGTACTAGTTCTCGAAGTTTTATTAAACCTAGAATAGAAAAGCAATTTGTTAAATTATATCATTCCATTTGGTTAAATTTCTTATTATAACTGACAGGATCCACCAATCGCATAAGAGTATTGTTGTAAAGGAAAAAGGCGTATTGGGATTATTGATTTTTTTCAAAGATTGTATATACATAGTGTGTAAGAAAAGTGGTAATTAATAATTACTTATTATTAATAATTATTGATTATTATTAACTTTTTAGTAAAATAGATTTTTCGATATTTTTATATTGTTAATTAATAAACATGGCAAGATGGGCATCTATAAAAAGGTCTTGATAATTGCAAATTGCAATTACATTTTTTTTATTATTTACCCCCTCTCTTTAACCCAATTTAATAAGTTTCTATATTTCAAAATTAACTTGTCAAGATGGGTATGTATAAAAAGGTCTTAAAATTTTCAATTTAAAAAATATATAATAATAACCCTCTGCCTGCCCCCTTATTTAAAAAAAATTATATTGCAAAATTAATCTGAAAATATTGGTAATTAAAAAAATGTCTTAATAATACAAGGACGGTAGATGGCGACAAATTACTTTCGTCTCACCGCTTTGAATGATTGCATCTTCTATAAAAGGAAGGGCAATCAAAATTTCGTTCGTGTTCCGCACCAAACAGCAACTCGGCACTGATGAGATCCAATAGATCGAAACAGCTGTCTGCCAATGCTGGTGTGGAACACGAACGAAATTAAACAAAAGCGGAGTCGAAATAATTACAAGTGAATCAATTACCTACGAGCTTAATCGTAAATATTAAAACTAAATTTTTAAACATATTACCCAGCCGGCGAAGGCTAAAGTCATCTTTTAGGTCATAGATGGCGTAAAGCACGCTATATGTCAAAGTGCAGAAAATGACAAGACATATAGAAGACCACGTCGAAGGACGGTAGATGGCGACAAATTACTTTCGTCTCACCGCTTTGAATGATTGCATCTTCTATAAAAGGAAGGGCAATCAAAATTTCGTTCGTGTTCCGCACCAAACAGCAACTCGGCACTGATGAGATCCAATAGATCGAAACAGCTGTCTGCCGATGCTGGTGTGGAACACGAACGAAATTAAACAAAAGCGGAGACGAAAAAATTACAAGATAATAATAACAATTTAAAAAATATTATTAATTACCTACCCCCTTCCTCCCCCTAATTTTTAAAATTTTTATGTTGCAAAATTAACATTTCAAGATGGGTATCTATAAAAAGGTGTTGATAATTGCAATTAAAAAAATTATATTATTTACCCCCTCCCTACCCCCAGTTTATTAAGTTTCTATATTTTAAATTTAATATGTCAAGAAAGGTATCTATAAAAAGGTGTTGATAATTGCAATTAAAAAAATTTATTAATTACCCCCTTCCTCCCCCTAATTTTAATAAATTTTGTATTTAAAAATTAACATAACAAGATGGGTATCTATAAAAAGGTGTTGATAATTGCATTAAAAAAAATTATATTATTTAGTCCCTCTCTTCCCCCCAGTTTGTTAGGTTTCTATATTTCAAAATAAACATGTCAAGATGAATATCTATAAAAAGGTCTCAAAATTTTCAATTAAAAAAAATAAATAACCCCCTGCCTGCCCCCCTATTAAAAAAATGTATAATAATTACAATTTAAAAAATATTATTAATTACCCCCTCCCTCCCCCTAATTTTTAAAAATTTTGTATTGCAAAATTATGATGGCAAGATAGGTATCTATAAAAAGGTGTTGTTAGGGGGCAGAAGGGGGTAGTTAATATAATTTATTTAGTTGTAATTTGTAACACCATTTTATAGATACCCATCTTGCCACGTCAATTCTTCAATAAAAAAGTTTAATAAATAAGGGGGGAAGGAGGGGGTAATTAGTACAATTTTTAAAAAAATGTAATTATTAACACCTTTTTATAGATACCCATCATGCCATGTTAATTTTGCAATTTAATAATGTAATAAATTATGGGGCAGAAGGGGGGTAATTAATATACTTTTTTAAATTGTAATTTTTAACACCATTTCATAGATACCCATCTTGCCACGTTAATTCTTCAGAAAAAAGTTTAATAAATTATCGGGGAAGAAGGGGGTAATTAATATATTTTTTTAAATTGTAATTATTAAGACCTTTTTATAGATACCCACCTTGCTGGGTTTATTTGCGATAATAACATTAATAAATAGGGTGGCAATTATTTTGTTTTTAAATTGTTATTATTAAATCATTTTAATGATACCCATCTACTTATGTTATTTTTGTAATGTTATTACTATAATATTAATATAGTTTAATCATAGAGAAATGTAATGTATAATGTAACATTATTAATGTTATTATAAATATCACTTTTTTATAAAATTTGCTAAATAAATATATACCATATATCAATAAAATAATTTTAAAAATTAACAATAATATTAAGGTAATTTTATAAAATTATAAAATTATTTAAGTATAATTTTACAATTTATTAATTTAATAGGACTAAAAATTTATATTTATTTAATAAATATAAATTTTTAGCCCTATTAAATAATCAGAATTAATAAATTACCAGTATTTAATTAATTATATCATCTGATAATTTTAGTCTGATTTTATCACTGGGTTCCGAAACAGATTAAATCTTAAATGAGCAATAATATAAATACTTTGAAATGATTAAATCTCAAAAGTAGCTAAACTATGGTTATCATTTAGAATATAAATCTTTTAGGTATTTAATCTTTAAAAGAGTAGAAGTGTTTTGATACTTTTGGGATTGAATCCTTAATGTATCGAATCACTACGAGAGCGGTATAATTTAACTCATCTGGAGAGTAATACTTCGCAGATCGAAATAGGTTTCGATCGCGAGTGAGTTGAGAGCTATTCAAAATCAGTGATTTAATCCTAGTCCCTGATCTTAACCAAAACAGGGACTTAAGGGTTTTTGGGGTCGCCGATTTTAAATTTGATATTAAATTTGTTTAACCAAAATGTTCGCACATTTTTCAAAATAAATGTTTTGATATCGCTTAAATGTGGCAACATGCGATTTTAAGGTCGCTGATAACAAACTTGATATCCATATTTCTAAACTCAAAATGGTGGATTTAATAGACGCCAAATATCCGCCACATAAAAAAAAATTGTTTATAAATCACTATATAATAATAATATAGGGGTCAGAATTTCTCAAACGGGCCACCTGAATTTGGTCAAAATTAGTTTTTGATTGTAGATACATTTTTTCGATAGTATTTTACATCACTAACACAAATCCTAAAGGATTTTGTAAAAAAAAAATTTTCAATTGACATATTCATGATATTAAAAGTAAAAGTTTTTAGTAATTAAAAAATAAAAATAAATCATTATGGCTAAACTAATTATCCGATTCCAACGATTTAACTAGCGTTGGAATCTTGTTTTGACATAGATTCTTTGTTATTTTTTTCAATTGTACAATTTTCATTTAGGTCGATTTTTTTTTGTTTTTTTATAAGAAATTCGGAAATAATTGGCTTCTGCGCCAGCTATCGACTCGAAAAAAAAAAACACATATACTCCAATCATTTTTCGAAATTATGCTGCTGAGAAAAAAAATGGCCCGCAGGTTCCAGACCACCGTAAGACGTCGCGTCACAAGCGCGTACAGCGTACACGGTTCGGAGCGTGAGCTGACACCGCGCGCGGCCACAAAAGGACGAATAACTTTTTGTCAACCTGCGGGCCATTTTTTTTCTCAGCAGCATAATTTCGAGAAATGATTGGAGTATATGTGTTTTTTTTCTCGAGTCGATAGCTGGCGCAGAAGGCAATTATTTCCGAATTTGGTATAAAAAAAACAAAAAAAAATCGACCTAAATGAAAATAGGACAATTGAAAAAAATAACAAAGAATCTATGTCAAAACAAGATTCCAACGCTAGTTATATCGTTGGAATCGGATAATTAGTTCAGCCATAATGAATTTTTTTATTTTTTAATTATTAAAAACTTTGACTTTTAATATCATGAATATGTCAATTGAAAATTTTTTTTTTACAAAATCCTTTAGGATTTTTGTTAGTGATGTAAAATACTATCAAAAAAATGTATCTACAAACAAAAACTAATTTTGACCTAATTCAGGTGGCCCGTTTGAGAAATTCTGACCCATAGGTAATATTTATTTAAGTGGTTTTACCGCAAAACCAGCATGCGGTAAGGGCAGGGCCGTAGCGAGGCTGGTGCAGGCGGTGCGGTGCACCAGGGCCCCCGACCTCAAAGGGGCCCCCAAAACTAAAAATTTTTACTAAAAAATCGTAATTTTTGATATCCTATCCTATCCTATCGATAAAAATCGATATCCTACAGAATAAATGTACTACTGTCACAAAATATGTGAAATATGTTTAGTAGTAGAGTAATAAGATATAGTATTATAATTTTGAACTTTAAATTACGAGCGTGAATGTAAATGTAAACTCTTTATGAAATACCCATTATATTTCATGTTATTTCATTACCCTATAATAATAACGCGAAGGCAAGTTCTACTTTTAAACATAAAGTTTTAAAATCGAGGGCCCCTGAAAAGTTTTACACCGGGGCCCCTGAGTCCGTCGCTACGGCCCTGGGTAAGGGTTTTAATATAAATACTTGTATTAAAAATTTATTAATACCTAATTAAAATATATAAGTCATAATACACCTATACGAAAATGTATAATCAATTCACTTTCAGTAGCGCAAACTAACTGGGAGTTTTTTGTATTAATTTGGTCACAATGACAATTGCGCGTTTAACATTTTTTAAATTTTCTTACAAAGTTGGTATCTCAATTAATTTTGAAAATTGATGACAGCTATAAAAAAACTGTACGATTGCGATTCCGAAAATGGAAACTAAATTTAATATTTAATAATATATTTTAGTATTTCGAAAGAAAAAAACGCAACCTTTGCCAACAAAATGGGCAAATCTTATCAAAGAAAATATTAATTTGACAGATGACCTATCCTT